TAGTGTGGCTAGGGTCTGAGATAGAGAATAAAAAAAAACTTTGAAAATCCATTCACAACAACGGTGTTAGTAGCAAAAATACTTCAAAAATGTCATTGTACAAAAAAGTTGCAATTGACTCATATATTAAAGGGAACGATAGATATACGAAATAAATTTTTTCCTTATGAGAAGAAAACAATTTCTTTATTGAAAAAGAAAGTTTTTTGTTCTTAGAAACATGGAAGATTTCAAACATCAGAAGATGATCAGTGATGTTGACAGCACCTCTCACTCATTCTCAGTAATACTGTCTACTCGCTGCTAACAGTCCGGTCATCAGTATCGACTAGGATCTAACACTCCCTCGTCCAGTATTTGTATTATTGGCCCCTATCTATGAAAAATATCTTTTCATACGATATTTCTTTAGGTTGGACAAGAAAAATACGTTAACTCTTGAAGAGCTATAGAATATAGACTGATGTGAAGCGCCATCTTTATCTTATTATTAGTGTTTTGTTGTCAGGAGAGACTAATAAACCTGCTCTCAGATCTTTATTTATTTGTTCTGTATTCTATCATTTTCAAATCCGATCTCATATATGTGAACGAGCGCGTCAAAGCAGGCTGACATCTGTCTCTGGATCACAGAAACAGGTTCCTTTACCTTTTTTCTCTCTTAATTAGCAGATATTTCAGATCATCTCCTTAAATATTTTCCCTCTCGTGGTTAAAAGAAATTTTCTGTTTTTTTCTTATATGATTGGTTTATCCATGGAATATGTAACAGCCATTTTTTCGTATTTCGCGCACGAGCAACCATTTTTTAAGACCTGAGACATAAAGTCAAGGAAACGGATTTAGGATCTTGCTTGAAACTCGCATAAAAGCTTCGCAAAAATGAGTTTCCCTTCCTTTCCTCTGAGTATTCCCATCAAGCAGGATGTTCATTAATTTTTGAATCAAAAATATATATAGACGCTTAGCTCAAACTTTATGATCGTGCCAGATTTGAGAGGTTGTATATCTCAACTCAGTGTTTATAACAGGAATTTTGTGCAAAATATATATCCATAGTTTATCTCTGTATTTCACTTAGATCCTTAGTGCGAACAAGCAATTCGTAATTGCTTTACACTTTAAGACTAAGCTTAGGATACGCTTGGCATCAAGTGAGTCTAACTTATTTAGGCGTTCGATACGACAGAAGTAAACCACGGAAACTAATAACCATATATTTTGACTCCTGAACGAATAAATTATTGTGTATATTAGATTTGTACAAAAGTTGAAGAATGGCTACTCCATTAATGAAATTGGTTCAGAAACCAATAAATACTATTATTGTACCCCGTCGAAATTATTATGGTGGTATCTATGTAACTGGTCCACCTTGCAATGCACTTAGTACCCGTGTAAGTTAAAAAGTCAAGATCTTTGTATGACTGTAATATCATTATTGTTTATATGTATTTTCTTTGCTAAGGAAAAAATAATTGCCTTGACATTATTTTGTGCAGTACCATTCGTGTATCCAATGTATATCTGGACACATCTCCAGCATTATAATGGTTCTGGTCGTACATGGTCAGCATATCAAAAACAAAAGGCTGAAAAACGTAAAGCTGATCAAAAAATTCTGAAATCACGACAAGAAAAATCAAATGTTTAAATGCTAAACGCGCAGACAAGTGTGCGAACATTTCCTCTTCACATATGGTTTTTTTATTAGATAGAGAACAATCCAAGACTATAAATCATCATTTTCTAGTAGTTTTCTGATCATTTTTTATAGAATAAATGTATTTTTTCCCACGATGAGTATCTTATATCTTAGCTTTGCTCATGTTAAAAAAGCAAAAATTTTCTTCAAGTACGAAAACTGTTTTCTTTTGGTGAATTAATGGTTCTTATGTTACATGCTGAACGTTAGCATAGAAGCTTACTGACTGTCACTTTGTGTCAAGGGCCTATTTAAGAGATACTGTTTGTTTGCAGTACTATTAAGGAATACTGTTGTCCTATTTATAAGGGGTGCTGTTTGTTTGCTTCCGTTTATTTATATAGATCAATAGAACATCTTTTCTTCTCATTTCGAGAAGTTGAGTTGTTCGGCGTTTTCATCTATGTACTTTTTTGATTAATAACAAAAACATAAATGATTTATACATGATTTATAAGAAGGCATCATTATTAAGATACCTGTTAAATATAACAAGACACCATGAATATTCACGTTGTTTATTATTTCAACGTTCTTTAACAACATATGAACAACATGAATCTCCGACAATTCCACATACTCACAGTCAACAACAGGAACCTCTTCATTTCACTGAAAAAATTCCATCAAAATGTCAGGTTGTCATAGGTAATCTATATCAGAGATAAATAAACAAAATTACATTATTATTTTTATTTTAGCTGGTGGTGGTCTTGTTGGTATTTCAGTTGCGTATCATTTAAATGAAATTGGCATTAAAGATGTAGTACTTGTTGAACAAGCAAAGTGAGATGGAAAACATTTTTGATTTAGCTCAATAACCTAAGGAAAGAATATGAAATAATGATCAAATCAACACATAAGTGTCTGAAAATTTTCGTTTGACAGTGACATTATGAGGTCAGATTTTTTTTTCTGATAGGAGTGCTTGAAATGCATATATACATCAAATTATGCGCTTTTGCTTCGATGGTTAACGAACAAACAGGTGTGTAAGCGATGCTCATTTAGCCGATGTATTTAGTATACATCTTATAGTTTAAAATCATTTTTGCTTGAGCTTGCTTTTTCAATTATTCGAACAAGACAAATTTTGCACAGCTTCTTTTAATATAATAAAACAGAAATAGATTCGTATATTGCTTTAGCCATAAGCACTTTTTATTGCTAATTTTTGCTCTGATACCAATCTTTTCATTTTTCTGATTGGGATTATCAAAGAAAAAAGCTAAGAATGAATATTGTGCCCAGATAAATTTATAGTGCTAAATATTTTCTAATGAGATAACACTAAAAGAAACTTTAGTGATGATTAGAAGAAATTAGATATATATAATTTTTTTAGTAACTCTTTTATTTGTGTTTAGGCTAGCATCGGCTGCTACTTGGCAATCCGGAGGGCAAATTTCTTTACTTCAAGGAACTGTGATTGAAACAATATTTGCAAAGTATTCGCGTCAGTTGTATGAACAACTACATAATTCTGGACATGACGTTGGTTTCACCGAGAAAGGAAGCCTCTGGCTTGCTCAGACATCCGATCGACTTCATACGCTGAAACGTCAACTAGCTGAAGCAAAGTAGGACTATTATTAAATTCTATTTGCGTCATTTTATAGATTAAATAATTTTTATGTGATTCTAGAGCGTTAAATATTGATTGCGAGACATTAAATACAGAGAGATTATTGGAAAAAGCGCCAATGATTGATCCACATGAAATATGGGTGTGGTAAAAATATTATTCTTTGAATACAAGTAAATTTAAACACCTATATTGGTGTGGTTTTTTGTTGCAGGGTGCATTATGGGTACCTCATGACTGTATGATAGATCCGGTTTCTCTATCAATGACATTAGCACAGTTAGCAATGAAAGGAGGTGAGAGAAATATTTTTTGTTATTGATCGTTAGTTGAAAGGTGCAAAAAACCTAATGGTTTGTCTCTTACTTTTTTAGGAGTGAAAATAGTTGAAAATTGTAGTGCAAAGGAAATAAATACAGAAAAGCAGCGTGCCGGACTATATCATCATGTAACAAGTGTATTAACGTCTCAAGGCGAAATCAAGTGTAATGTTTTTATCAATTCCACTGGAATGGTGCGTATTAACAAAAGAATGTTCTGTGATAATAGAGAATGGAAAGGTATATGTCGGCAATGAAATACCATTTCTGAATTTTACATTGATTAGAACGATAATTGTGTACTAGGTTTATCAGACAGAAAAAAAGTCGTCTTTCATGAATAATTCATAAAACAACTTGTTGTTTATGATTTTTGAGTGATACACCAAACGTACTCAGATCAAACTGTTTATAAGAATAGGTTCTACTGATATAGTTTGACACACCCATACGGAAACATGCCTTTTGTAAACAATAAACATCAATTTTAGCTTTATTTTTAGTGGGCACGTGAACTTGGTTTTAACTCAAACCCTAAGGTTCGTATTCCGACGCAAGCGTGTGAATATACTTGTTTAAAGACGAAACCAATACCGAATTTTCCTTCGAATATACCAAGTAATATGTCAATTTTAGGCATTGATAGTGCATTTAATGCTGTACGTGATTTTGTTTTAGTTATACGAAACCCTGATGAACACTTCTATATTCAACCATTAGCAGATCAAAGTGTCTTAATTGGTGGATTTTTACCGGAATCACGGACAATTTTTCCCAATGGTGTACCAGACACGTTTAATTTTTCATTACTTCAAGAAAACTGGGACGATTTTCGTATGTAAAACTGTGTACTCCTGTCTTTTCTTTATTCTCGGAGACAGATGCACGAATAATTCCTGCTATTTGTCTCGTTTATCAGTTGAGTATGTAATAAAACTAATATGGCGACCCTCTCCATAAAAACTATAGCATGACTGATCGAATTGAATATGTGTCCCATCTGTAATAATCCTCCCTTTTTTCTAGAAATTATACTTAGCAATGCAATAAAGCGTATATCCATCTTAGCTGATGCCGAACATGAAAGTTTGATAACTGGCGCTGATAGTTTTACGCCCGATGGTAGGTTGATCATGAATGAATCAGCTGAGGTAAGTGAATATTGCAGAGAACATCACATGATAATCGAGATATTTTTTTTCGATTTAGATTGATAATTATTTTGTTGCAACTGGAACAAATGCGAATGGTGTTGCCTTAGGTAATCGTTGTTTTCGAATTAAATAAGTAAAACAGATAGAATTACCGTGCTTTTTTTCTATTTCTTTTAGCCGGTGGCATTGGTAAATTTATAGCTGAATCAATACATTCGGGAGATACAAAAACGAGTACATGGCCCGTTGATATCAGACGATTTATGCGTTTACACACGAATAAACGATTCTTAAGTGATCGTTTAAGAGAAATACCGGGAAAACAGTTTTCTTTAAAATATCCAACGTATGGTATGTCATTGTATCGTACGGGAAGAAAATTACGTGTATCACCATTACATGCAAAATTACAAGCGTTGCGTGCTGTATTCGGAGAATTACTTGGCTATGAGAGACCATTGTATTTCAATGATGAAGAAGTAGGAAAAGGTATGCGAATATAACTGAATCGTAGAAAACATATAATATGATTTTTTTGAAACTAATTAAGATGATTACATTGAGGATCGTATCAAACAAGGCACATTTGGGAAGCCAAGATGGTTTAATGCCGTTAAGAAAGAGTACAATGCGTGTAGAAAGGGAGTTGGCGTTATCGACATGACATCATTTACAAAATTTGAAATAAAAGTAATCATTAAAATGAAAACACGATCGTAGTTCTTAACATTTTTTTTTGCTTTTCTTTTCAGTCAGCCGGAAAAAGCGTTATTGACTTTTTACAATATTTATGTGCCAACAATATAGACAAACCAATTGGTTCTATAATTCATACTGGAATGTTGAATCAAAATGGAGGCTATGAAAATGATTGTAGTGTTGTCCGACTCGGAGAATATCAGTAAGCATTTTAGTCCTTGTGTTGTCCGATGCTAACGTTTATTCAAATTTTTTCTTTAAATTACAGTTTTCTTATAATCAGTCCAACATCTCAATCAACACGAAATATTAAATGGTTAAAATCTCATTTTCCCGAGGATGGTTCAATCTTTTTGTCTGATGTTACATCACTTTATACAGCATTGAACGTTATTGGTCCAAAAGCCAAACATTTACTCGCTGAATTAAGTGATGAACCATTCAATGATTTTGCTCGTATGACTTGCAGAGTACGTAGATAATTAACAAACAACTGTTGAGAAATTAACCTCTTGTCTTTCGTAGGAAATTGACGTTGGTTTTGCTAGTCATATTTATGCCATGCGTCTTACGCATACTGGTGAAGATGGATTTATGTTATATGTTCCATCTGAGGTAATATTATTTTCAAGGAATGATGAACAAAAAATGGATGATATTTCTTATTTTAGTATGCACTGTGTTTATATGATTTATTGATAGAGCAAGGCAAAGACTACGGTATAATTAATGTCGGGTAAGTGCAAAACATTTACTAGCACACTCTGTGTTTCTAAATTATATTTATTTATTCAGATATTTTGCAATGCGAACACTACGAATTGAAAGAATGTATGCTTTTTGGGGACAAGATTTAGATAAGATGACAACACCACTCGATTGCAATCGAGAATTTCGAGTTCATTTTGACGTAAGAGAGAACGCTTTTATTATTATTTTTTTATTAATTGACAATATTCTACTTTAGAAAAATTTCATTGGAAAAGAAGCATTATTAGCGCAACGAAAAGAAGGAATAAAACAGCGTTTTATACAATTTTTACTAGAAGATCATGACCTTGATTTGGACCCATGGTTAGATTTTTTTTTTTTGTTAAAATGTACGCTGATATATACGTACTCGAACTTATTTAGGCCATGGTCTGGAGAACCAATTTATCGAAACGGACGATTTTGTGGTTTTGTTACATCAACAGCCTTTGGTTTCACACTTGGGAAACAGGTACTATGCAAGGTTACCTGACGTAATTTACATGTTGTTTGACACAATTGTTTTGTCTCTTTTCAGGTCTGTCTTGGCTATGTGCATACAGATGGAAAAGATGTGATTACAACAGATTATATTCGAAATGCCACGTATGAAATTGATATTGCTGGTAAAAGGTTTAAAGCAAAATCGAATCTCTATCAACCAAGTGAAATGGGACCGACAGTTCAGTTGAGTACACCCTGATATTCTATTTTTATTTTTATTTTATCTATTGTTATTGGATCTCGCCTCACTAATCAATCAATTCTTTGCATTTGTTTTTTGTAAAAAATGCTTTTCTCTTTTCGTCTCAAGATGTACACATAAGATCGATATATTTTTTTGACGTAAACCTATTTTGACTAGAATTTTCTATTTTTGTACTTTACTCGTAAGATTAACAAAACTTAGTTTAGACAAAAAAATTTGTTCTTCTGTTCTTGTAGAGATGAATTTTTTAAAACTTTTTATTCATATTTTTGCTTGTAGCTACCTTTCTACCCTCTTCTTCTTTAACAGTTATAAATAAATTGCACTACAAATTAGTCATCATTTGCTCATGCTTAATTCCGAATCATGACTTACAAAGTGAATATAAGACAGAAAAGATAAATGAAGTTTTAACTTTAGAGAAATATTTCTTATTTAACGCTCAGGTTGTTTGACTTATTTGACATTTGAATGTAAATGTCTCAATATCTGAACCGTTTTCTTTCATAAATCGTGTGAAAGAAGTAACATAAACAATATAACTACTCAAGATGAATGTCATCAAATTAATTTTTTCGCATAAAAAAAGTCATTTATTACGAATCTCTGCTAAACAATTCTCAACGATATTAAAATAGTATGAAGATTGAGAATTGTATTTCAAATGAAAAATGAAAGACAATGTTTTTAAACAAAATAAAAAACATTTTCTTTTTCATACTAGCAACTCATTTTGTTATGCACAGGGTTTAACTGGAGAAAAAGCAAACAATTATCTATTCATTTTCTATCAGACTGAAATTCCATAACGGATAATTGTGGTTTATAGAGATTACCAACAATGACCTAAATAAAAAGAAAACGTCTTGGTCTTAATATTGTGTTCGTAATAATAGTATTAAATTGAATACCTGACGACGAATTATTTCAAGATTTGAATGAGCTTTTTTCAATAGTAAATCAATTTTTGATCGATCTTTCAAATCTTGATTACGTCGAAATTCGTCTCGAATACGTCGAATAAAATATTCACTAAATGATACAAAATTAACATATTAATATACCTTCTTCTATCAAAGAACACATCTATGTGACAAATATAGTACAGTCAATGAAAAGATTTTCTTTATCCTTATTAATTTTTCCAGTGCTGTGAGAAACCTTTGCTAAGTCGTATTTTTCTGACAGAAATAAGTGTTCTGTTAACTCAATACACGCAACTTTCGAAAAAAATAGATGCATCGGATTATTATCAAGAGATCTGTTCATTCTGAAAATGATAGATACACTTGCCAAGCAATATCTTACCGATAACTATAAAGTGTAAATTTTTGACTCTCACGAATAAGCTGTTTATAAATGATTAGCACAGGAGATAAACGATTTGACGACATTATCTGTAAATAAATTTAATAGTAAAAAATAGATGAGAATAGATAATTATCAATGTTATAAATAAACATCTAGAAAGATCGAAAATAATTACCATAGTACAAACTCACTTTTAATAATATAAATTACTGGATAATTCCATTTAGATGACAATATATATAATAGAACTACTATCCATTTCAAAATATAGTGTGGGTGGTTGGCAGTTGAATAACTCGGGAACGCGTTGAACTATCGAGATCGGATTTTCGCCATCGCGCAGCCAAGACCCGTGCACGCAGTGATATGCTGAAAGTGCTGAAATTTTCGAGCGGGTCTCTGAGAGATTTCTAGATGAGCCTTTGGGAAACCACCTCGCCGATCGGAGAAGCATTAGTGAATTTTTAATCTAAATCCATCTATTTTGTAGGCCGGGGTCTGCTCTACAAAGCCACGTAAACCGCAGATTTTTTTGGAAGACGTCTCTCTGCATGAAGTAGATATTAGAAAAGCAAACTTGCTGGCTCGAAAAAACATGGATTTATAGAGGATTTCAGAAAATCTGTCGATTTTTGAATGTGACCATCTCTTTTTCTGTCGCTACGACTGTACAGAGAGAAATCTTCCAACCCTATTTTTGAAAGTCTGAGCTCAATCAGTTGAGAACTGGCTGAGTTATAATCATCTCATTGGAAGGTAGGTGGTAAAAAAACTCACTTGTTTTGCTAACCCCACTCTGCCGATCTTGAATCCATTTGGAGAAGATAACAAACATTGCCACGAGATTCAATATGTCTGAAAACAGATGTTTTCATGCGAATCCGAGCTCAGCCAAGTCAAAAAGCGTGCTTTTCGGAAGTCCGGCGCTTGAGACCCAGCATTCGAACTGAAGAACGAAAAAATCTGCGGCTTGCATGGCTTTATAAAGTAGACCCTGGCCTACAAAACAGATGAATTTAGATTAAAAATGCACTAAAAGCTTCTCCGATCGGTGAGGCGGTTTTTCAAAGGTCCACCTAGAAACCCTCAAAAAGCAAGAAAATTTTGGTTTCAGTATATCACTGCGTGCACCGGTCTTGGTTACACGATAGAGAAAGCCCGATCTTGATAGTTCGAGTTATTCAGCTGCCAACCACTCACACTATATTTTGAAATGGATAGTGGTTATGGGTTCATCAAATAGATCTAGTATTTACTGAATATAAAACAGAGTTTCGTTTAAGAAAACATTAATAAAAGCAAAAGTTTGTTTGCTATTTTTCGTTCGATTCAAAAAAAACATAACTTCGATGAAAATACAGTGACAAAAAAATAAACTAGGCTATTAAGTTTTTTCATTTTTAATGAATGCTTGTAAACCAAGTTCATTATCACCGTTATTATATACATGTTCATCATCATCATTGGAATCTTCTTCACTCGGGCAATTATGAATAAAAAATGAACTATTACTGTTGTATTGTTCCTCTTCTTCTCCTGGTACTTCAGTACTACCACCACCGACAGGTTTTTTTGACATACATTTACCAGCTAAAACATCCCTTCGAAGTTGCATTAATGCTGTACGAATTCTATTCCATACTGAACTAAATTGTATATCAGATAAATTCCATGCTGCACGAATACATTCTAAAACATATTTATATCAATAAATTAACAAATAAAATTACAAAATAAATAACTTACGTTTCAAAAATGTTGTTCTCTCATTTTCTTCTGTATGCAATCGATCTAATATTTCCTGTTTTGTAAATAAATCACAACATACTTGCCTAGTGAATGATGTTATCGTCATATTAGGTCGTAAATGTTTAATCATATTTCGTCCATTGAATATCTAAAGAAAATCTAGAATAGTAATCATTAAGGAACACTATACGTACGTGTTTAAAAAACGGTAAACTATACGGTAAAAAGTTGTTTACGCTTTACATATCATATATGCAGTAAAAAAATAATGACTCTTGAGTTAACCTTGACAACTTTATACACAAAGAAGAATGTGATTCAAAACGTCATACCATTGTCTTCTTAATATCCATTGATGTTGTTTCCAATGGAGTTATTATTATTGATGAATCTTTGAGTATATCGTCGATACATTCGGAACGTTCACTTTCTAGCGTACGGTTCTGTTTTTTTCGCTTTGTATTTGTGATTGGTTCAATAGAAACCATTTTTGTTGTTTCATCACTAATTTCATCTTTATTCACCAAATATTGTTTAATTTTGTCTATACTAGCAGCTATTTGTAAAACAATATTTATAAGTGAATCTAATTTTTCATTTGGTTCTAGAATATATATATATATATATATAACTCTAATAGCTCACATAAGAATAACGTATTTTAATCAGATGTTTTAGACCTAGTAATCTATACTAATGAGAAACTATTCGTAGTGCCTCAGACAATGTCAGCCAAAATAGTGAACGTCTTACAGAAATCAACAAAAAAACCATTTTTTTTTAACGAAATTTACAAGTGAACACTTACGACCATCGTCGCAAAGAATACGCCCTCTTTTACAATATCAACAATTACTTTGTCGGATCATATCGCTAAGTTTCAATTCATTTTGTACATAATTTAACAGTGAATCTAAAACAAAAAAATACACATAAAGTTGATGTGAATTTAAAGTGAACTGAAAAGAGCAAGATGTCTCACCAGTTTGAACGATGGATATTGGCAAAGGAGATACGGGGCATGGTGTGAGGGATATGATTCTTGAACAAGAATGGACTGATGTTGCTAAGCAAACAGAAAAAGAAATCATATAAATTATAACGACAATTTGGTATATCATTTACTTTCTCCATTTGTCATTGGTGGTAGATATGTATCTTGTGGGGATGTTGTACAGGTAGAATCTATTGATATATAAGTAAAACACAAATGAAGTTAACTAAAGAATGAGATCGATGAAGTGTTTTCCTCGACAATTAGATGTAGTTCAGTCGAATAGACCTTTCTAATCCCATTTATTCATGATATGATAAACTCTTCTTAATGTGAGTCGAAATACTTTTGTTGACAATGGAAAAAGGACTTCCGTTACTTGGAAATTTGTAGATAAGTTGTCGTACGCACCGCACCATATCTGATGTAACATATTACACGGCGTCTAACTCATCAAAAGGGAAGTAGAAAAACGAACTTGCAATTAAGTTATCACTTTTTCGATACTAAATAGAGAAACTCGAACTAAGACCCTATAGACTGAGTTAGTATATTCAAAATGGAAAATAAAATGCTTACCATGCGTTGTACGAAATTTTTTTAAATTTCTATTTTCATCATCATTACTTTTTCTTTTAGCTAAAAGAAAACAAAATAATTGATTTATTAATTTCAGTTTTATAGAAAAAATTATTACATGTTTCATTTGCTGTTTCATTTGATTGCTGTAAACGACATATCAACCATTTGAGATATTTATTTAATGATAAATTATTTTCATTTGGTAGTAAAGTTAAGATTAATTCAAATAAGTTCTTTTGATCATAAAATGATAATTTTGCATCGATCATAAATTTTTCAATAGCCAAATAAGTAGACAAGACAGAGATGGGTGCATTTGGATAGAGTAGTACTTCATTATTTTCATCAATATATATTTCATTATTATCGTTTTCTCTTAATGGTGATGATGGACAAATAAACGTATTTTGTTCATGGCAAGACAATAAACGATTATCGTACGAAGTAGACATCTGAAAACAATTAATTAAATAGGACTTTTGTAATAGTCTATTCATTTACCATATAAACTGTTCGAACAAGAACAAAACACTTGATTTCATCTTTCTTGATAGAGAAAAGAATTTCAAGTAGTTTGAGGTTTTGTCTCGACAAGTTCTGTTTCGAAGATAATCATCGAAACTCTGAGTAAGCAATCTATTGCAATAAATATGCAACAACTTTCTGTAAAAAGGAGATCCACTATAAATTCTATTTATTATTTGAAAAGGGCAAGAAACAATGTGCTTTTATATTTACAATTCAAGTAGTAGCAAAGGTTTTTCTTCAACAATGGGCTCTATCACTGAAAAAAAAGAAATACAATTAATGGACCTTATAAATCAGAATTTTCCCCCTTTCGTTGATAGTAGATCCTTTCAGCTATGTTTTTCAAACATTCTTTGACCAGTGCAACGCACAGAGCCCATATACTTTCTTAGCATACGGGCTCTGAGCGTCTTAGTAAAAGAAAAAGAATAAGTTAAACTGATTTTCAATTTCGATTGCTTTTTATTACATTATCGTTTAGTGAATGCAAAAAGAAAAAATGTTAAATCAATGCAATGAGTGACAAAAAGAAAACACAACCAAATGAATTATATATTTAGAAAAAAAAACAAATTGTACGCTGTATACATAAATAAACAAAAAAAACCCTGTTTTAGTCTGCTGACTTCCTCATTCAACCAAACTAGAAACTCATTACAAAACGTAGAGGAAGATATATAAGAATAGAATCAAATAAGTAAAACGGTATTTGCACACCGGAAACAAACTAGCAGCAGGGAGTCAGATAAAACAATATCGTATGAAAGAGAAGAGTAGCTGATTTCTTGTATTTGAATCAAGCGTATAAAATATCCACTTTCTGTTAAAGCAAAAAGCTACTCGTACATAAGGATTTAACAAGAACTGATACCAGATGACACAAAAAGAAAACAAGAGAAAATGCTTTTTATCGAAACATATAGAGCAAGAGTATAATAATACACAAAGCAATAACAAATCCTAACACAATAGAATCTTTTCGTTTTTTTACTTTAATCTTTTGCATTAGATTATTTATTAATGGAAATCTATTAGCCAATGCATTGACTTTTTGTGTTATAGTTGTCATATGTTTACGTTGAACCATTAAATCTGTTTTTGTTTTCATTGCCATTTCCAAATTAGCCTCCATTAAACGATTTGAATTATTTAAATGGCCAAGTTCTTTTAAATAATAATCTTGCCGTCTCGCACTTAAACCACCTGTCGCAACACCTGTTGATGATTGACCGCTACCATTTGTTGTTGGTTCACTACTTCCATTTGTATTATTCATCAATAAATCTTCACGAGTTTTAAAATTTCTTATATTAGCTTTTGTTCGTTCATATTCTCGTCTATAATCTTGTAATATTTCATGATGACGTTGTAATGTGTGGGTAGCAGCTGAATTTGGTCCTAATAATGATGAGACAGCATCAGACATTCGTTTATTTATATCCGATAATCTTTCTACAAGTTTTTCAATTTCAATTGACATTGTTTCATACATTCGCTCACTGTTTGACGATGTTGTAGAATTTGTTGACGATAATGTTGTATCGATGTGAAGGTGATGATCACGTGTAACATAGTTTGAACACAATTTTGAAAATGACATAAGCTGAAATTCATATTATCATTATCAAAATTCAATAGATAAAAATCTATTTACTTACTTTAGTATCAATTTCATTTTCAAGCAGTCGTGCTTGTTTCCTAAGATCTTCCCATTCGGTTCCTGGCGCTGTCATTCTTGATTGTGTTGCAGTTGTGTAGGTACGGTTTATTAACATAGTTCAAGAGACATTTAAAATTTTCTCCTTTCTTCTTACTTACTCAAAACCTGACATTTGGACTGGATCTAAGAGTGAAACAAATTTTTTTCGCTATCGCAGATGAAAATGTACACAAATGATTAGAAACGTGATAAAGACGAAGAAATTAAAATTGTTTCTCATACGATTATGATGTCGTAGAGTATGATAGTGATGATTATCGATATGACGTAGATATTCACTTTTATTGACTAATGATTGTCGAATTAACTTAGTGGAATCCATCGGAACAAGTGCCGTAATGTCATGACATCTATGCATGATAGTCATATAACTTAATGATATTACTTAATCAGAGAAGTATAGCATACGGTGTACAGGCCGAGTAGCATCAAAAGATTCAGAGATATTTTGAAAAGCATGAACAAACAAAAACATTAACTGATTTTTAATAACCACTTTTACAATTGTAATTGCTTTCTCCACAGACCACGATAACAACAATTCGATGATCAATCAATTCGAAACGAAGCAAGTTATGTACAAGCATAATGCAATAAAAATAAGTTATCAGCGTAGACCTATAATAAAAGTACAACTCCGTTCAATACGTCGGCTGGTTAGAAAATAAACTCAGTTTACAAAACAGATTTCCATCCTTGAAACAAGACCTATGATACAGTACATCCAGATCCAAAGATGTAATAAAGTCTGGAAGATCTTAACCTCTAAGTGGTTAACTCTGATTCACAAAGACAATCAAGTTAAACATAGCTCTCCACCCGAGTCTGTCTCTCTCGGACCTGGACCTTGATCTAACCTGGGCTTAGACTTGAACCTATGACTTGGACATGGGCCGGGATCTGAGGTTTTTAAGTGAACTTTTAAGCTTAGTGCAAATAACACTAAATGGATCGTTTTGATATCATTCAAAAACTTGATTCTTTGCCTTTGTGCGAAAATGTGATGACCTTTTAGATTACTCAACAAGTTTTTGGAATATTTTCTTATTCCAAAACTACTGTGGAGTAGGTACAATTCAAGATGATTTATCCAAGTTCAATAATGATCAACTATTAATATAAATAGATCAAATATTAACCATAATAAATGTGATGGATATTAGAAAGAAAATGACTTGAAATATGATGAATTGGACACAAAAATAAAGTTTTGAAGAAAATGGCTCAAATTTTCAAAAAGATCGGGATGAAAACAATCGAATGGAGACCAATTTTAAACGCAGACTATATGTTAGGAGAAGTCTACACATATTATGATACTGACAATAATTTTAATATTGTTTACTAAAACAATTAGGTTTAATTAAGAGAATGTCAAACATGGTGAAAATATTCCAACATGTGAGATAGATTATTCATTGTGATCATGAAAAAGAATAATTAGTTATTAGACATCGATAACACAAAAATATTTTGATAAGCTCACATGTGCGCATGGTGTTCATTAAAAATAAGATATAACTGATTAATCAAAAATGTTTTTTAAATTAAAAGTTTAAACGATTGCGTATTTCTTTTTGTGTAGGCGTGTGACTGATAATGGACTAGAGAATAAATAGAATTGCATAGATATTTGTAACACAGAAGAGAGAGAAGAGAATATGTACAGTGAATAAGAAATAATATATAAATAAACAAGTCAGAAAACGAGCTTTTTCTTATACGATGAAAAAGAAAGATAATATAGAGACGTATATATCTATTTATACTGCAAGAATTAGAGTTTTCTTCAAGTATTATTCTACTCATTATAAGTGATAGTAATATACAAAGATGGTGTTATGTATAATAGGCTATTTTTTCGTTGGTGTTATTCTACTGAATACTGCTGATGCAAAATCCGTCATTGTTCGCACAGTTTCGGGTATGTAAACAATTCAAAACAGCAATTTTTGATATATAAGCTAAATAAATAACAAAGTCGCATTAGAAAATATGATACGATTTGAGTGCTGTACAAAAACAGTCAGTAATTATTCATTAATGCAATTTACTTATAAGTAATTGATTAAAATTTTCTAAATAAAGATGAATAGTCAATTATATTTATAGCCAAACAGTTTTTAATATTCTTTGTTTTTTACAGATTGTATGTTGGATGAAAATGGGATTATTCATTATAAAGGCAATCATTCCTATACAAAATTCAATAGGGTCTGTTTACATTGGTCTGATTTTATGCGCACACATGAACACATCGTAAATGATGCTACTTTCATGTACGATCGTTCCGTTTCCGATGCACACAACTTTTGTCGAAATCCTGATTTACGTGATGATAGTCCATGGTGTTTTGTTGAACGTAATCCACCAAGAACTGAACCTTGTTTTGTATGTAACAGTTTAAGTAAGTATTCAAACACTAGTAGTGAAACTTCTTGTTACAAAGATCTTGATTTAAGATTGTTAGTAAGAAACAGAAGAAATTCAAGAACTTCCAAGATGCCAAGGTCTTAAACGTCTTGAGATTTCTTGAACTCTTACATCCAGATCTTGATAATTCTTGAACTCTTACATCCAGATCTTGATAATTCTTGAACTCTTACATCCAGATCTTGATAATTCTTGAATCACCCTTTTGTCTGACACTTTTCATTACATATAACTGCGAAAATTTTCATACTATGAATAACTTCGAACTTTTTCCTTTCTTGAACACTGGTTACTGAATAAGCTGTTCAAGAATGAACTTATGACCACCTATGATAAAATGTCTAATGGTTATGGCTGTCATATAGAAAGAAATGTAAACAAATTTCTATTATAATACTCCGAAATATTCTAACTTGATACAATCAAGATCTTGAAATTTCTGTTCCTAAGATCTTGCGTAAGATCTTGAATACAAGAAGTTTCACTGGGGGAGTTATTTCATTTTAGAAGAACGTCCAACAGGTGTGTTGCCTGATTTAGATCACGGATCGCCTGGAGGTTTTTTTGAAGGTTTTCGATATAATATGGAACGTTTACGTCAAAAATTTGTAGATTTTATGAAAAAAATGGGAGAAAAGATGGAACGAATCACTGCAAGGATTCTCGAACGTTTCGGATTTAATGTACGAAATGTTGAATAAACGAGTTTCGCTTTTCATGTAATTATAAATTAAACGTAATCTCTCCCTCTATTTGTTTACTGATTATATAGTCAGGCATCATTTTTCATTTTTTGTAATCTAATCATATGAAAAGGATTAAAAAAAATACTTGAAAATTCTCTCCTTCGTTACAATGAATATTTTTTTTCCCAGTTGGTCTTAATATATTGTGATACAAAACGCCTATACTTTTTGGCTTTCAAAATCGAACACCATGCTAAAATTCGTTACATCTCAAAAAAATGTTTATTTTTCCGATATTGGACTCTTAGCAAACAGTTTAAGCATAGTGGAGGGGATTCCACAAACTTTTGTTAACCACTGGAATGTGTAATATACATGAAACAAAGTAAAAAGCCATTATTAAATAAGACTAAAAAATATATTTCAAAATAGAAAGAAAATTTGGGTAGAAAATTAACAATAATAAAGTGCCTATGTATTTGAGAAGAGATAACACCAATGAAAACTAATCGGTATTCGTAAAACTTATCCGAAATCAGATATTTTCAAAAAAAAACAAAAGGTATTCATACAAACTGCTTCGACTTGAGCACTCCTTGACGTTTTCAATGTATTGATAAGTCTTTTACTACAAAATAATAAGTATTAATATATCTGGAACAGCACAGAAATATCTTGCCGTTAATAAAAATTCATCATGTTATTCTCATTGTCAGATATATGTCGATTCTCCATCGAGAATGTAGAGTTTTTGTGCATACAATTCGTCGATTGCCAATAATAAAAATTTTGTTGCCACATAGATTCAGACTGAAGAAGAAAAACGAGAATTTATATCGCAGCTGAAGTAAATCGTAATGATGAGTGCTAAATAATTAGAGTTTGTTTCGAGAAGCGATTCGAATTATGTTTTACCATATATGTCTAAAAACTAATATCCATAATTTAACAGTAAATTATTAGTACTGTTATTAAATCTGCAGATCAAGATAAGTGCCCAATAATTTTTCTTCTGACAATCTCGACTATCAACGCCTTTCAAGCTGAAAATACATTGATAGCAGCAATTGTTAAAAGAAAAATTATCGGACACTTACCATGGTCATATATGCATTAGATCTCAAATAGATCGACGTTTTCTGTCATACTATCCTCTCTGTTCTAATTTCAATGCTAAACAATAGTTATTTTAACATTTCATTAATTTAGTTATCCATATTTGTCACTCAGTAAAGAACAAATAGAAAACATCAAACTACGCGTCGAAATGACATCAATATTTCACACAATATTTCTTTTAGATCTACATTAATAGGTCAGAATCTAATTAAAGTCTCATTAATGATATCGAAGCACTTTTTTAAAAACCATGAGAAAATAGAAATCGTGCACTCTCAAAGTAATTATTGAGTTGAAGAACATTATATTAGTGGAAATTTTGTCCTTGTTCCATTATTAAGCGAGGAAAAAAATGACACAAACTTTCAAAGCCTAATATGAACGGGAGGAACATTTGAATAATGTGGAAAAACATTTTGCTCTGCATCTATAAAAACACGTTAGAAATTAGAATAACCACTATACGTCACCAGATAAGTTGTTTTATTTCTCAAGTTATTAATGTAGTACTACATATTCCTACCGTTCTTCGTATTTCGAAATGGTTCACGTTCTGGGGAAGACGTTTCTAAAAGAGAACTTAATTATTCAAAAAACATCAAGGTCTATAAAGAGACTAGACATACGGTTATGATGGCCACTAGAATATACGGAAAAAAAAGAACGAGTTGAGCCACAACATATGAAAAAAATTCAATTTACCTTGAAGAAGCTAAACGAAAATAAAAAGAAAATTGTTTAATAATTATTATTTATCGTTGGGCATAATTTGTATCGTTACCTCTCTTGCGCCAAACGATACACGCTACCACACTTATAATTGATATCAAAATACCACCGACCACTGCACCAACAATAATCGCAAAGAATTTTCCTGAAATAGAAGAAATTAAAGTTTTAAAATAAAAACTTCAAGCGTTACGCCTTTAGTTAAACTCACCCACTCACCAGCTACTAATCTTTTTCGTTGTATTTTATTCATAGTTTTTTTTGTTGTACCAGGGTAATATCGATCATCTTGTCGTAGAGTATAACTGACATCTGGTTCATTGTTTACTAGAGCTTCTAAATGCAACGATTTATTACTTAAACAATAAGAATTTTTACCATAATATACATACTCTTTATTTTTATCGAGCTTGATAATGTCGATATTTTATCATCAGTAGTTAACGCACATCTGAATTGTTGTTGCTGTTGTTTTTTCTTTGATTTTATAAACATTGTTTTTTGTTGACCACATAGCACAATTGAATCATCATCTTGACGATTTCGAGTTGTTTCTATACCACCACTGTTACCAACTACATAATATTTCATACATATAAAGGTCATATAAACTGAATAATTTTTTTTTTTTGTTTACCTCGTTCCAAATCAATATAAACATTTTTGTAACCTGTCACGGTTGCACAACATAGAAATTCTATATGGGTTCCATCAGCAATTTCTATTGTACTTTTTGTGAGATCATATTCATCATCGATTCGAGAACAAGACTGGCTTGGACCAGAACAAATGTAGTTCCAATAAAACTCTTGGATATCTAAAATATTAATAAATTATACACATTCATGGAACATCTTCTCTAGGAAATTGTTGGCACAACTGTCGAGATCGTACACAAGTGATAGAGCAAATTTTTCGGCTCTTGCATCAACGATGGGTCTACAAGGTATTTTCGAATATTGTTTAGACGGATAAAGAGTGTGTTTCAACTATTATTTGAACGCATACTATCATTTCGTTGTTCATATGCACTTGGATTAGGATTGCCAACTGGTCCGCTTTTTGGACTTTTGTCCGCAAAGTGTTCGCTGTCTGCTTTTGATCCGCTTTTTAGGAATTTTGAAAAATCGTATTTAAACAGTACTACACTTCGTTTTTTAGTGAAAATTTCTTCGCGATAACTCATCCGAAGAAGTATTTATCTTGTTTAACTGTAAATAGATGGTAGTGATCTTAACAGATATACAATCGGTGAAAAAGTATAATTTCCAAAAATAACGTGTACAACAAATATCTATGCTTATTTATGTTGTTGTTGTTAATACAGGTCTGCACTTTTCACTGAAAAGTATAACTTTTAGAGTTCTATAACTTGTATACTTTCTGTACAGTTGTAGATCTTACATGGATGTATAACAAGCCTAACTAAAAATCCGGCTTTAAATTGGTCTAGCCATAACTCAACTTTTAATTATGACTAGGTCAACTCCCAATTTGCCTGACTAAACTAAAACTTTTTTTAAGGCGTAGTTTTCTCGATAAAAGTGTGTTTAAGTTTGAAATTCAATTTTAGACTATTTGATTGGTTAAATCCTCGGAGGTCGGGGAATAGAGACACGATGGAAAGTAAGATAACTGTCAAAACATCACGAGAGCTGCAGAAGATTACTTAACTCTTTGATGTGGACTACTAAAATCATGTTTTGTATGTTACGTATGACAGTTATAGAAGCATTCGCGTGCACGACACATTCCTCTCACACATTCCTTTGACACGACATAATCTAAAAGCGACAGATATATTCTTACAGTATACGTAGGCAAACCAGAAACTTTGTCGGTCTCTTCGTATTAGTACTTCGTCTTACAAAAATACTTCTGAAAAACGATTTTTCTAGTCGAGCTATTGCGTAGCTTTTATAAATAAAATAAGTTATCGGAAATTCATACTACAATTATCATGAAACAATGCTTCTATGATAAAACAACAAAAAGTATCTTATGTTCTATGCTCATTGGATTCTCAACGAACCGAATAATAGTGGCATCGCGAAAACACACTTTTATCGAGAAAAATATGTTTCACCAAAAGTTTTAACGTTGTCAGACAAATGTAGAATTGATCTAATCTTAATTAAAATTTGTGTTATACCCAGATCAATTTAAAATCTGTCAGAATTTTAGTTATACCTTCACGCAACAGATATACCTAATAATCTGTCAGAGAACAATCAAGAGAGGGAAGAGAGACACCTTAATGTGATTATACCAATTAATATTATCTGATAACTTTTATCCATCTCTGCTGTGGTCCATCGTGCTTTTCGACAACCGTAGAAACCGACATGTTTTTGTTGCGCTGAGTCACATGTAACCGTGAGCGTATTGTCGATTTGATTAAGATCAAAATGTAAATTTAAATAGGCACCACTGTTTGTTGTTTGTGAATCATCTTCAATTTCATGCCAATCGATATCGCTATTTTTTCTTTGTCCAAAATAGACGGAATCGTCTCTTGAACATTTGAATGAAAATGGTGCACCAACTGCAACTTGAATTTTTAGAGGTTGTAATTCGGGACTTACAGAAGTAAATAATAAGAAAATTCCCAAAATCGCATGATACAGCATGATTTTTTTAAGTAGTTCACGAATTATGTAATAGAACGAACTTTGTTCGAAATTTGTATATTATTTGTGTTAAATATACAATTTCGTATGTAGACGTTTGTGATTTTATGTGGGACTTTTTTTCTTCATTATATTGAATATAAAAAAACGTATCTCAATTATTAATGTATGATTTGAAGAGCAGTTAAAGAACGAAAAAGAAAAAGTATTCTGCACACATGCAAACTACCTACGTTCTACCTACTGAGAACGCAATCTATACGTACGAAAAGAGAGAAAATGCTTTTTCTGTTCTCTTTTCTCTTTCATTACACATATAAACTCATAGTCATAAAGAAAAAACGTGAAAAACTTTTACCGTTTTCTTTTAATGTTATTCTGTTAAAATAATTTTTAAATGTTCAAATCTTTTTTATGCAAAATCAATGTGATATTCGTAATCTAAGAAGAACACTGCGACATGTTTTGGAAAAACTCTCTCAAATTTTAAGCCAAGACAGCTGACTCAAAGTTTAAATGAAAACTTTTCGTCTGGTTTCAAAGCCAATCTTATGTGAACACCGTTTCACAGCATGCTTACTACAAATACCGTAGTCTTCCGGCTTGAATTGTTGCGGGATAAAAAGCAGGTGGCTTATATCTGTGTGCCTGTTTGTAGCTTGAGTGACAACAGTAGCGTGGGTAAGAAGAAATGTACTCATTCACCATTCGTTTTCTTCGCAAATTCAACCATGGTGAATTTTGCTATGTAACATCGTTATTTTTTATATATCAACTGGTTTTTGGAGTTGTATGTTGCAGAAAATATTTTTGAGAATACAATGACTCAAAAGCTGTTGGGTTCAAGGCAATCGATTATGGGATGTTTCCATTTAGGTCCGCCGTAAAAGCCACAAAAATGTCGATACTCCTTTCGTGTAGGGCATAAAAAATTACATAAAAGCCCCCTAATCCTCCCATACAAAAGTCACATTCTACATGCCTTTTTAGGGATATTAAGTTTCGACCTTCCCTCAAATGACTTTGACCTTGCTTTTTTCTGCATCGGCAGAGTTTACAGCGCTGTTTGACGTACCGCATGAAAGAGCAGCTCGAGTAGCACGAGTACCAGTATTAAAAACTTCTTACTACTCTTTCAGGGAGACTGCAGCTGTCACAAAACGGCTGACAATGATAAAACAGTATTGAGTATTTTATCTCTTGCGAACGCAAAACAAAACGAAAAGTTCTTTATTATAGATGAAAATGAATCTGAAGAGCTGCCTACTCTAATGGAAAAAGAATTAACTCAATACCTATCTTCCTCTTCGAGTATGGCGTCCATCTTTAAAGACCCCATTCAGAAATAGCCAACTTTCCATTCTTCTGGCTCAAAAAGTCTTCATATCAGTAGAATTTTTTTGTAGTATACATCGAGCTCTACAAAATGGTAGCAAATATTTTTTGACCCGTTTCGTTTCGGCAACTGTGTCATATAATGGTGGACGGACCTGAATGGACAATCTAAATCCACACTTAAAAATCTGTGTTCTTCAAAAAACAAAAATAATGATCTTCATTTGTCCCCATAGAGATCATATATGTGTTCTCCAAAGGTTTGTACAACAAGAATCTTCAGTTTTCTGAAGAACAAAATCTTTGTTCTTTAAGTTTTTTGATCCCTATAGGGGACAACTTGTTCTTC